CGCCCCGAAGACGGGCGACGGCCGCGGGCGAGGCCGACCCTTGCTCCGAACCGCCCGGTCGGGAAGTCGCGCTCCTAAATCCCGTCGCGATAACGCTTTTCACTCTCTAAGGGAAAGCGCGGAGCCGCGAGCTCGTGAACAGGTATTTATTGACTCAAGCCGGAGCAGCTACTTTCCAGGAAGAAGCGAGACGGGTTCCCCGACGCAGCGAAGGGGGCAGAGGCAGCGAGGCAGCACCGGCCGGAGAAACGTGCCGGGCGGGGCGAATCGTCGATCCCGGGAGGGGAAGACGAAGGAAGGCGCGTCCGCGCTGGAGCGGACTAGTTCGCTTCGCCAGCAACGCCCGCCGCCATTCTTCGAACAGGAACCTCGCCGGGAAAACGGCGCACGACCGCCTCAGCGAACTCTTTTTCCTCCGTCGTCAGCCCTCCCCAGGCCAGAAGGAAGAGGCTGGAACAAGCCGTGTACCGAAATGATGAGCGGTTCTCTAACCCCTTCCCCTGTACAGATACCTCGTCGCGATTTCCGCAACTGCGGTTGGCGCAACGTGGCGCTGGCGCTGCTGTTCGAGCAGGGGACGCTGGTTCGGTGGCTTGTGCCAGCTGTACTTGCCCTGAGCCACAACGGCAGCCCGCAGCTCGGTGGTACGAACTGGTCTGCCAGACAGAGAGCGAGGCCGAAGAGAGCCGGTCTTGGATTCGAGGCTCAAAGGATCCAGTGAAGCGATGGCCATGAGGGAAAGGGGCTCACCCAGCTGAAGCTGGAAAGTGACTAAGTGGGAAATAACGTACAGACCGCTCCGGCTGCGGCCCTCAGACTGACCCCAGCGGGAGCCCTTCCCCGGAGAAAATCCAGCTGAGCTCGTCCTCGCCAGTCGGATGATGGGCAGCCTTCGGGGCTTCAAGAGGGGGAATCACAGGCAGTGCTCGAGGCAACGGCAGTCCACCTTCTGCACGGAGCCACTGAGCACGGAGACGTCAGCCAAGGTGAGGACTGTCCCCTGGGGCAGGCCTTTTCCGAGGGCAACGCTGGAGACCTCCCCGGGTAGCAGCGCACGGCCCCACACAGCAAAGCCAGCCAGGAGCCCCACGAAGGATTCGGAGGATTCGAACCCTCCACCCACTGTGTCTTGCTCCTGGCCAAGGAGGAGCGACCCTCGGGGTGGAATCTGGTAGCCCTTCTGGAAATTGGAGCCCAAGGAAGCCAGCCTTCTGTCCAGGTAGAACCAGAAGCGTCCCTGCAGGGAGGACCAGACGATGCAGACGTGGTGCCACCTGCCGTCCAGGATCGGTCCCACGGGCAGCTCGCGGAAGGCGGGGTCCCCAATCACCAAGTGGACGGAGTTGCGGGGGGCAGCATCCCTGCCGTGGAGCACCAGTTTGTTGTCGTTCTCCTCCGTGGCATAAGACAGGATTGTGCCCAGATAGCCAGCGCTGGTCCTCACCCAGCTGCAGAGGCTCAGTTCTAGCAAACTAGTCCGGAAGCTGGGCCAGAAGGCTGCGAAGTTCTCTGTGGAAGCGTTGGGGAAAACCAGCATGGCGCCTACGTTGCATCCTGCAGGGAGGAGAAGTGGGGAGAGAGGGAGGTGGGGAGACTGCCAGGAAGTGGAGCTTCTACGCGCCCTCGTGGCTGAGCTACAGACCCTGGAGATAAGGATGGGTCAGGGAGGCTGCTGAGGCCAAAGGTGTCAAGGGAATTTCACACACACAGCCCCCTGCAGCTGGCCGGACCCACAGTTTGGGACTCCAGGTGGTGGCTGTTGTATTAAAGATTTCCATTCTACATTTCTAAAGCCTGCACGTCACTCAGGGCCCTTACAATGCTTAAAATCAGTACAGTGGTTAAAATACAAAGAGCAAAGCAGAATGCCGAAGCGCTCACAAAGTTAGAAACGGGCAGAAGCAGCAGCAGCATCTCCTAAAGTTCATGTTGCCTCGGGGGAGCGGGTCTCCCAAAAAGGAAAGCGTTATCCCACCTGCGGAACACCAGGATAAGGCCCCAACGTGGCCTGCTGAGACAGGGCGTTCCAGAGTTTAAGGGCGGCCCCTGAGAAGGTCCTTTCTCTTGACCCCGCCAAACGTGCCTCGGCCACGTTTGCGAGATTCTACATCAGATCTTAAGGGGCAACCGTCCCGCAGCATTCATGCATCAACACATCCTCCCATCTACACCTACGTGACCCTGGCTTCCGAGGCTCTTCTGGCAGCTTCTCCCCTCCAGGGGCTTTGACTGGGCCAGGGGGCTCTTCTCTGAGCATCTGCCGCTCGGGCAAAGAGGCCAGCCCTGGTTCTGCCAGCAGTGGGGAAACCCCCTGACCCAGAAGGGATCCCCTCCGCTGGGCTTCCGGGCGGCCACCCTCCTGCCGCAGCCTCTTCTCCTGACGATGACGATGCTTAGCACGCAGCTTCTTCAAGGAGGGGCTCTGCCCTCCCGCTGCCTCCAGTTCCTTCTCTGGATGGCAGCAATGGGCTGTGGTCCAAGGACTGGGCTGAACCTCCTTTTGCTTGGGACTCCTCGGCATCTGCTCTATCCCGCTCAGCTTGCTTCCCTGGCTCTGGAGGGCATCCTGGAGGCTCTCCAGCATCTCCCACAGGCTGTGCTGGTGGGCAGCCATGGCCCGAAAGTCCTCCTTGTGGCTCTCAAATGCCTGGGTGAGGTTAGAGAGGAGTCCCTGCTGCTGCTGCTGCTGCCACCGCTGCCTCTCTGCCGTGTCCTGCCCACTCTCCTGCAAGGACTCTTCCAGGGCTTTGATCTTCAGCTCTTGCTTCTTGCCCTCCTTCTGTAGCTTCTTCACCCGCGTCTGCAACCGAAGCAGCTCCTCGTGGGTGGAGGCGTGGGACTCGTTGGCCATCAGCTCCAGGCTTTTGTGCTTCTGCAGCAGGTGGTCAAATTTGGTATCGAAGTTGTAAGAAAGGTTGTAGTTTTCCACCATCTCCTGAAGGCGCATCAGGGTGACCTGCTGAAACTGGCGGAACTAGAAAACAGAAGTCCAGTCAGGCCCCCAAGCAGCCTCAAAGCAGAGGGAGTCGGGGAGAGCATTTTGTGTCCTGGCCTTAGGAGAACCCTGTCAGGGAAGGACCATTTCCTTCCCAGGAAAGAGACTGGCATGACGTGATGTTACGAAGTGCCAGGAACCTTTGGGTCCCCTTCATTTGGCCTCTCTGATTGAAATAACTTTTACATTTTTCCTGCCTTCTTTTCAGGGCACCTCAGAGCATGAAAGACATACATTGCCAAATAAATGCAGAGGTGGGTGTAGGGCCTCTTTATTGAAATGCTACTCAAGACCCCGATGCCCTCTGAGAGCAAAGAAAAACAACAATATCAGGTTCCCAAAATCAGAGCCCTCCCAATAAATACTAACAGTGCTGAGCTTTTATAGAACAGTTTAAGGAAGCGTTAGATATTTTACTACATAAGGACACGGGCCAGTGGCCAGATCTTTGGCCCAAAATACAGCATTATATTTTTCCACTGGCTTCCTTGGAGCTACTGAGTAATCTCAACTATATTTAGGAAGTGGTATTTTTATAATAACAAGTACAATTATTTTTAGTCCTAACTGAAAACCATTGGTGTGTGCAACTATACACAATTGATGTGCTTATTTTGCTATTTCAGTTGGCAAATATTTCCTTGTTTCACGGTCCTGAGACTGTTTTCTTGTCTTCCCCTGAAAGTGGTCAGGCTATTTGTGGCAATTTATATTAATTCATGAGCTCAGGCCACTCTCCCCCAGCCTGCTCAGTCTAAATGTGGACTACAGTTCCTGTTACCCCTAACTATCATGGTGAATGGACACCCTTGCTGTGTGCGATGGGATTTGTGGTGCAACACCTCTGGAGAGGCAGGCTGGCCAGGTAAGCTCAACCCAAGACAAGGCTCTCACAAAATAACCTTATCTAAACCCATCCCAAAATGCAATAATATTTATTGCTGGGCCAGTATCTGTGGTTAATCTTAGCTAAAGTGGCCTCTCTCAGAACCTGAAAGGCTTAGATATCAGAACACCAGCTGTCCCCATAGAGAAACATGGCCGGGGGGGGGCTGGGCTGCCCGGTCTGAGCGAGGGAGCCGCCACCCGCTATGAGCTGCTGAGCATCTCCCAGACCTCACCATGTCAAAGAGGCATCTCCTAGGCACCAGGCAGGCGCCCCATTACCCCAAGGGAGCCATAACAAGCACTAGCAGCCTCCCCCCCAGGACTCTTGCACGTCGGCACCTGCAAATTGGGGCACTTCCTTGCGCTGCTCCTCCCCCTTCCTTTTCCCTGGAACGGTCCCCTCGCTTTATTTATTCTTGCCGATTATAGCCGGTTGTCAGGCAGATATCTCAGGGTGCTCGGCTGCCTCGTCCCCTCTGGGGACCCCCCCTTCTCTTACTGCAGTCAGCTCTAGCTGGGAACATGCCCTCCTCTGGGCGGTTGCTGGGGGCCCAAGAACAGACGCAGCCGACCGCAGGGACTCCACAGAACTCTTGCCTTTGTTCAGCTGGGGCCCCTGGTTTGGCTCTGTGGCCCCCGATGCTAGGCAGCGGGAGAGTTCCCAGCTTGCAGGGGTGATGCCATACCTTCTCCTATTTTGGTCCCACAGTAACTTGCACCCCCAGCCGAGGGGCCACAACCTTCCTATCAAGCAGAGGAGATTTGGGGGCCACCCCCACTGTCCCGGGTCTAAGCGGTCAGTCTGTTCAGTGGGCTTTGATCATTTCTTTGTCACAGATTGAAAAAAGGATAGCTGGGATAAAGCTGATATCAGAATAAGGATCGCATAATAAACTCGGATTAAAGCCATTTAACTGGGAGCTGCGTTCGACAGTGACACGTCCTGTTGCTCTGTGTTCCGTAATTCTTGCCCTGTTTTACTGGCCTTCTGTATACACGAACTACCTGACGCTCCATACGTGTCGGGTAGTTCACACGCGACGCTCCGGATACAACATTCGCTCCGAAGGAGAAAGCAGGGAGCCCCCCCCGGAGGGGACGCGCCTGGTTTCGGGGGATCCACGCCAAGCAGGACGTCTAGGAGGAGGGCGAAGGCGTGGAGCAGCACCGGGGAGACCCTGGCTTCCCTCCACCAGAGCCGTGGACGCGCCCAGGCCGGGCACCGTCTCCTCGCCCGCAAGACGCCTGCCCGGGGGAAAGCGGGAGCGCTGCCCAGGAGCCCGGGCAGAAACCCAAGGCTAAAGGAAGGAAAGGAGCGCGCGGGTCTTTCCTTTGAAACCGCCCGAGGGCCGCCTTCGGGCCAGGTAAATTTGCCCCGCTCCCCGCAGCCGTCGCCCCTCGCCCGCAAGACGCCTGCCGGGGGGAAAGCGGGAGCGCTGACCAGGCGCCCGGGCAGAAACACAAGGCGAAAGGAGGGAAAGGAGCGCGCGGGGCTTTCCTTTGAAACCGCCCGAGGGCCGCCTTCGGGCCAGGTAAATTTGC